CGCTTCAGTTTTTTTAAAGACTTAGGTCTACATTCTTTGAGACATAATCCTTAGGAATAAATGCTGATTAGATTAAATGAAACTCATTTCAATGACAATTACTCATACCTTTTGTCTATTCCAAATTAATTTCATTGATAAAAACGCATTTCGATTTTTTCGAAAACCGACCACTTCAAATAAATATTATATACCTTATTAAATATCAAATCGACCAAAAGAGACGACATTGAGCAAAGAGAAGCACGATTTACCTTAATCTATTTAAGCTAATTTTACTAAGTCTGCTGATGACCTGGTGGTGTCTATTCCAGTCAACTCTCCCCTAGAATGCTCCAAATTTAATGAATTCTTGTCTGTAGTTGGCCAATGATCTCTCTCAAACGGTCGGAAGTTAAACCCTTCTAAATGTCAAACTGTTAATTTTAACCTCAGGTGCAAAGAAGGCTTATGTAAGCTGGCTAAATCTCATGACGCCTGTTGCATTGATGATATATCTGCAGAAAGTAAATCGAGTGTGAACTATCTTGAGTTGGGTTTTACTTCTGAACTTTGTTGGTCGTCTCATGTTTTGTTGACTTGTAAAAAATTCTTTCTTTTAACTATTGCATAAAGAAACTGAGGCTTTCTGATATAAATCAACCTCTTCTTTTACAATTTATTAATTCCTGCATTTTACTTATTCTTCTATATTGTTCCCCATCAATCTTTCCTGGTCTTGTTAAAAAGGACTATGTTATGTTGCACAGGGCTTTGAGAGCCATCAGTAGAGTGAGTGGTATGCCTCTGGCTCAACTGATTAACACTGTAATTGATAGACATTTAAATCACACCAAGCTACTGCCTATAGAAATTTAACTGACACTGAGCATCCACTTGATCCACAGCTCTCTCTATGTATCTCCTAAGGGAAGACAAGAGAAACTACTCTAGACTGCATCCTCGTACAGTTAAGTATAAGAATTTGACTGTACCTTACCTAGCATGCATATTTTGTGAGGAGAAAAGTGTTACAAGAGAAATCACACATCAACTTTGTGACAGTTAAAAATCTCATTTCAATAAGTTAACTTACAATGTGCAATTTTCTCGTTTTTAATATTCTTCACATTACTTAAATTTTTACAATAACACAATTCGAAATGTTGTAAAAGAGTATATGCATATGCATATACATAACTGGTTATTTCAATAGTTAACCGAGTGAGCTTCAGAGTCACTTTGAGAATCAGAAAAACAGCTAGTTAAAATGTTTATGAATGGGATATGGTCCCAGCAATTAAATATCAACTAGTCAAACCGTAGGAGAATTTGGAGCTACCCATCAACATTTCTGAGAAGTTACTAAGACAGTTCATAGAGAATCAATAAAGTCAACAAACTTGAACCATACAGATCACTAGATGCACTACTAAGACAGACAAAATAAATCTTGTAACACTGATACAAACTTAAAAATATACCTATGGGTATTCACAGTTATTCCTGATCTAAATTAAAATTCTGTCTGGAAAGCTTTCCACCATCACCATTGAAAGGCTGCATTTGAAGATGAGTTATTTCACGTAACCATCCACAGCAAATGTCAGCACCAATGAGATGATGAAACTTATGTACTCATATAAATCCTCTCAGCATGAATACAATCACATCGCATATACGTGTCGTCACAAAGCAAATTCCAAAATGACTACAGCAGTAAGTAAAATCGGATGACTCACTTGTCTCATGCAATGGTTGTCCAGCTTTGTCTATGGCTAAACATAGCTCTGAACTGAGTCACAAGGTCGTCTTTTGTGTGTCTTTCAAACTAAGTTACAAATCATTTGGGGGCATACACTCAGGTGTAGCTATGACCATGTTCAGACCTCTATGATGCATTCTAAAAAAATTTCTTGTTGAATCTAATCTGCCCTAGTAACTCAGCTTTAATAACAAAGGTGATCAATATGTTGTCTTTCTTTTCCTGCTTAAAGTAAAAATTTGACCCTATTAACTATTTTCTACACCTATTCATACTTTGCTATACTTCACACAAATATGCGTAACAGGTCTATGTGTGTGTGTGTGTGTGTGTGTATGTGACTAGATTATCCGTAAAAGACTGCGCTGACATACTTCATGTTTCTGATGGACTATGTCTACTGATTACTTTGTCAACGTGGACTAAGTGGTCTAATTTTTTCAAGTTTCTGAGACAGATTTTGTCACATACCATCAATTCTTTCTTGTTTCTTACCCCTACTTGCAAAGATTTTTGCACACCTGCATTCCAACTTCATCAAATAAACTGATCTTTTAAATCAAGATCAAGAGGGCATAAGCTGGATTGACCAATGAACACACCCTAGAAGATTTGGATTTCACCAACGATGATGATGATGATGATGGTTTATGCCCGATATCTCCTCGCACACTCTCGAAGATCTACACGCAAAAACCAACAAGTTGATAGAAGAGGTGAGGCAGCGAAGGGAGATGGGATTCCCTCAGGTGAAGGTAGAGAAGACAGAAGTAAGTGATGAAGATACTCAACCAACAACAACAACAACAACAAGAAGCACCAATCAACATGAAAGGGAGGAATCTAAAGCAAGTTGTCTCTTTCACCTAGCAACCAACCAACCAACCTACCTACCTTCCTAGGCGTCATCCTCTCAACTACACACACTGGCGGCGGTGGCACCATAGATGATGACGTCATACCAGCATCCGAAACATAGCAAGACACACCTTCATCACTCTCAAATAATTAGTGTGCGGATCTACTCCACCACACTACACTGCACTCAGCATGAAGTATGAAGCATGAACAACATCCGCATTCCAAACACTAATTCACTCAACTCACTGCTTCCATGTGATGCTTGATAGAGTTGGCATGTTACACCACAAGCATTTCCTTCCAACAAACTACACACATACATCATCAACATCTGCCACATACACCTACGCCAACATCTACACCTACACCCACACTCACTCGATACTCACACTGCAGATGATCAGATGGTGAGAATAATAAGAGTAAGCAAGAAGGAAGTCACTGTGACTGGCAATGAATCAACCAACCGACCGACTGACCAACAACCTATCGTCCAACGTGTATGCAGAAGAAGAGAGTGGTGATAGATTGTATTGTACTGTGCATAAACGGATAAGACGGTTTGGTGTTGGGGTACGTCACTCACCAGGCGAGATGAGAGCAGGTGAGGACAGGTCTTCGAGTGGAATGGGAATAGGAAATGACGAGTTGAGTATCTGAGTTTGTTGACATGGAGGAGATGGTGTGGCGAAGAATAGAGAGGTTGTGGGTAGTGGTGGATCGAGGTTGAGACGACTGTAGAGAGGAGAGTGAAGTGGGTATGTGCTAGTGAATCCCTACGTCCCACTTGGGATTCAAGGGACAAATAATAATAACATCTAATATATTATTCGGAAGATAATACTGCATCACTTTAGTATAGGTGAACTCAGGTCAGGACTTATTGCTTAAGTTGTACTCCTACAAAGAATGTTAAGCCTCTATATATGTCCCATGGTATGTGACCTTAAATCAAGCATTGTTTTGTCTTCGTAGTCGAATTAATGTATGTATTCCATGAGTATACACTGACAAGATAGATGATGTCTCATGATGCCTGAACACTGACTTATGTTTGTTAATATTCGATAGAAGAAGAAAGTTTTTGAATTTCATTTGTACTTCCTGATTAACATTGTGGTCTTTTATAAGTATTGAATAACACTCATACGGTATAGAAGGTAAGGATTTCGAAGGTTTGTTACCTGTATTTGAAAGATTCTGTATAAGGTAAAATGATCTGTCTGTCAATTATCAAGGACGTGCATTTGTTATATAATCAATTCATGGGTAACTGTTGGCGGTTGTACTAGATTAAGGATTGATAGAAGTTGAAAAAATAAGTGCTGTTTTATTCCTACAACAAAAGACTCTATTGCTATCATTTAAATGGTAATGTCATCAAAATGTGCAAAGATATGTAGAACCAACCATTTATTGATCTCTAGTTTTATACGCCGCCCAAAGTAACTTCAATTCAAGCTGCAAACTGCTTCAAATTATTTAATAAAGTTGCATGGTTAACCATATTTCCGAATGATAGACATTTCATAAACTTTATCATTTTCCCCTTTCTGAATAGTTTCATTGTTACTAGCGCAAATGAGGCTTAGATCAGTCTATTTATACTTTTTATTTACTTGCGTCTTCAGATTAAAATCTTTTAAAATATCGTGTTAGCCTTTAAAACCATCAGTATCCAACCAGAAGTATTCAGTTACTAATTCACCAGAGTATACTATTTTGACAAGAGTTAGTTGAATCTGAGATGAACCAGAGACACAGCTTCTGAAATTTAAATTGAGCTACTTAGTACTATTTACTGATAAACTTGTTATTCTCTGTTGTTCTGTTGAATAGAATTATTCGACCTCTATTGGCATATGGGCTTCTATGCGGATGCCCTGATATTGCCTGAATGTTGATTATGATAATTTGGTTGATTGTGGCTAGCAGAAGAATCCACGACACGTGTTTCGTCTATTTGGGACTCGTCAGCTGGATGTACCCAGTGATGTTGTTCCCGTTGGGACTCAAACCTCGTGCCCATCGCTCCAAACGCCAAGGCGTTATCCACTATGCGCGTCCCGGATTCTCCTGCTAGCCACAACCAACCAACTGAGGTACTTGGATTTTAAATATCAGGTATCAAATAAACTTTCTTAATTTCGTCGACAAATACTACTGACAAATACTAACAGATTGGTTTTATTACTTGAAAGCATCCTACTGACAGCAGTCAGCTACCTTATACAAACAAACATAAATTATTGCTTGAAGTAAGTGGCCAAGGCATGTGTGTGTGTGTGTAATGCACAAATTTGTAATATGCCATTGTTCAGATCAGTGAAAGCGTTTCTCTACACTCTTTTATGCTTGTTTATTTTTTTTATAATTCAAATATTCAATGTGAAAGGACACCTCGGATGCGTTAAAACAATGGTTCAACTTTCACAAGAAAAACAATTCTGTCAATCCACAGTCATTATCGGATCAGCTAGTGTATGAATGCCTGAATGAATTAGATCAAAATAGAGTTGAACAGATATTTCCAAGACGGCATAAAACATCGAATTGTAGTTCACCTTCACTTGCAGTCAGTAATACTACTACCGCTGTTTCTGCTACTCCACCTATCACAATGACTACTATTGATGAGATCACTAGAAATAAGTCTAATTCATTTTCACGCATTGAAAGTGGTTCACATTGGATGTCATTTAGTCAAAACTTTGATAGTCAGGAGTTGGCTGATGTGTTTTCTATTGAAGAATCTTGGACACAAATCGTCAAGTCATCTGCGGTAAGTCATACTACTGTCTAGTAACTGTGTAGGGTAAACGGTGAAAAGTTTTTGATATAACAATGTTTGATTATGCACTGTGGTTCTTAATGGTAAAGTCACTTCTCAAAGTCTAATTGATCACTATCGAACCTCCAAATTGCTGTATATCCAGCTGGTTATACATATCTTCTTCATCAGATAAACATGTAGTGAAAACAATTTTGAGAAAGTGAGTTTTTGAAGTAGTGAATACGATCCAGACAGTTGCAAATATACTAACCGTCAGTTCGTTGTTTTTGCGACAGACAAATAACGAACACACGTTGTATGATGAAAAGAGGTCGTTTATTTGTAGAGACTCCTCAAGAAACCTAATTCCTTTGACCTGACTAGTCGAAGGGTTCTGAGTGAACCCCCGCAACCTGACACGACAAAATGCTGCATTGAAAAAAGGCAAACAGTCGTGCGTTTTCTGGATTATTACCCATTCCATCAATTTTCATTTGAAATTTATTCATTCAGTCATAGTTCAGTAATTTCAAGTAAAAAAAAACATGAGTTATGAGGGAATTATTCCTATGAGATGTAAGATGTCAATAAGCGGTACACTCTATCTCCACTAGTTTCCGTGTTTTCGCTAACGAATCAGCGAAAAAATATCTGTCAAACCTGAACACATTTATGTTACATTGTCGATCTGAAATCGTATTATTATATCTAGAAGCTTGGTGGCTGATGGTTAACGTTTTTACGTCCTGTTTCTGACTAGAGCTAATCAGTATGACACTTAAAAGTTGACTGACTTCATACACCTATCACCAAAACATGTTGCACTGTGGTGTTTCGTTTCGCTTAGTGACTATATTAAGCAGCTTATGGATGGAATTCAATGTGCTCTCAGTATATAGGATTTGAAGCTTACATTGATTTCCAGTCACTGTCCACTTCGTTGGTAAGCAATTAAATCATACCTGAAGACTTTTGGATATCACTGAAATTTTGATCTTTTTAGGTCTTCATTTCTTCTGAGACATAAACAAATAAGCCAGTGACATACTTGATGACTGAATATAATTGGTAAAGGTCTCTGTGGAACCATTTTTTATTCTGGTTGACACTCATAAGTGATACGAAACTTTGGCTATTGATAACTTATCTGACAGTTGAACCCATATCATTCAACGTTATAGTCAAGGATGTCAACAGTGTGCTATTTGGATTATGAGCGTAACCAATACAAGTTTTTGAACCTACGTTTGCAATGAACCAATCGTTATTAAAGCAGATCAGTGCCGATAGTTTAAAACTTGGTAGGAGATGAGTTCGAACCCCTATGTGTAATCATCAAGCTCATTGAATTTACAGGCCTACTCTGGTAGTGGTTTTCTAAAAGTAGAAAACTTAAATCACTCAGGACTGTTACATAGCTGTTAGCGATCAGTCTACTTCATTTCTGTAGTTTAATATGTAATATTATCCACTAATTGGTCCATAGATATTTTATCAGTTTTTCCTCTGTTCTTCATTCCACTCCATTTTTTATTTGTAGAAAATGACAAGACAGCAGCAGAAACGACAGTCCGCCATTTGGGAATTCATTCACACAGAGGCGAATTATTTAAAGTATTTACGCACTATAATTGATGTAAGTTGTTATTCTCCTGAAATGAGCAATATTAACTGTTATGCGCTCTACCACTATGGTTTATTTCCCACAGGATCGCTTCTCGTTTTTCTATTAATTTCATCTTACAAGTATATACGTAATAGTGGTGGTATGTTCAGTTATGTTCCATTTTTTGTGTCAATTCACCATCCATGACAGGATGAATGATTCTGGATTGGCTATCCACATGATTTAGTATTGACCAACAATCACATGGAAATAAATTACCGAATGACCTTGAGATGTTTTAATAAAGTGATATTGCCTTAAATAGCTAAGCTGGGCATAATGAAAGCCATTCGGTATGCAGTGTAGTATTGATCATCAAGGATCACGGCCATACAATGGTGATAAGCTCAGGAGTTTATCAAAAGGTGTTAAGTATTCCCTAACATTGTTCACAGTTTGCCCTAATAAATAAGACAACTATGACTATAAACTCAGTAAAGTAGTAAATTGTGACGTTTGATGCGATAAAAACGCATGAAATCATTAATAAATTAAAGGCGATATTGAATACGGTTTTCTGCACTGTTCATAGTTGTCTATCAGTCCTTCAGTCAGTGAAATTTTTCGTCTACAGTGAGCTCGGTGAAACGTAATAGTTTTACAGTGTCTAAAGTCATTTACCTACAGGTAATCGATAAAAAACTATAAGCATAGGTATTTGCCTGTTTGGTACCTGTAAAAATGTGAACTACTGCCTATGTGACAACTTGGTATGCGTGTATGCTTATAAACCTTAACCGGTTTTGTACCAGTTCCTTTGTAACCGGTTTCTTGACTAACAAGTTTGATTAGAATATGGGAGCTAGTTGCGATGTTTAGCGTAAATGCGGTTGACGAGATCCATATGCACTGATCACTGGCGTGGATCTCCAGAGCGGGGACTGGCCAGCTGACCATCAGCATTCCGCGTAGTAAGCTTGGAGTAGTGCATCAATAGAAGGCAAAGGAATTCAGCTTCCTAATCCCGGTAGTCACTGTTTCTGAAGTAGTTCCAAGATAGTTGGTGTGGTTTACCTTGCGAAGGCGGGGTGGTATTGCTTTCAGAATGCTGGATATTGTCCGTTGTTTCCAAAGACTGTCTCTCAAGCAAACCACGATGAGCCTCTATTCCTTCTGAGAGGGTCTGCTTCCTGCAAGATTGTGGATAATCAGTTCCTTCTCAGCCTTGCCGCCATTATTACTATTAGTAGTGGGGTAATTATTAGTAACAGCTGCATTACTACTATTGAAGGAACAGAAGACAACCCGACGAGAGAATGCCCATGACGAACAATTGGAATGGTAGTGGTTACATATGGTACTCCTTGCAATAACGCAGCCATTTGCAAATGTCTTCGTTTCCTCTCCGTTCCTGTCTTGATTTGCTCTTGACCGGCTCTTCATACACTCTTATCAGCAGCATCCCTGTAATACGTCTGTGTTGTCCCCTGTGTTGCTCTTGGCAGAAACCTTACCTATCGCCGGTAATTCCCTATGATTCCTACCACCCTCTCGATATATACTAGTTATATCCGTTGTTATCAGCAACGCCAACTACACTCGTCCCCCCCCCTCAAAACTCCGGACTTGCAACCGTGTTCGTCTTCTTGGTGCTGTCTTCTCTTGGTGTTCATGTAAAGTTTCGCCTTTTTCCAACCGCTTCCATTTTTGAAGTAGGCTGGCGTTTACTCTTTTCTCTTTTTTCCCTTGTTTGATGGTATAAATTGAACCGCGTCTCTCGGCAATGATGTATGGTCCTTCCCACTTCGGAAGTAGTTTCCTTCTGCCATACTCACCTCCTGACGTATATCCTCGTTCTTTACATTTCACCTGATCTCCAATCTCAAATGGTTTCCATTTGCTTCCTTCTCTCTGCTCAGATTTTTCAGCATCAGTTTTCTGTTTCTGTTCCACATTTCTGATTGCCTGTTTCCGCTTATTTCTCAATCTAGTCATGTTCCATGGCTGTTGATGGGGCCAGGTCTTACTATTTATTGGAAGCCGTGGTTTCCTGCCATACATTAACTGGAACGCCGACTTCTTGGTCGTTCCTTGTACCGAGGCACGATGAGCTAATAATATTAACGGCAGTTCCGTCTCCCAATTTCCTCCTTTAGGAGCTAGCCACTCCTTCAGTGTACGGTTATTCCGTTCTGTCAAACCGTTAGTCTGCGGGTGGTACGGCGTTGTTCTTATCTTCTTGATATTAAGCTGCTCCAAACAGGATTTGACTTCTTCAATCTCAAAAGAAGGACCTTGGTCGGTCAGTATCATCTTCGGCACACCGTGATCCGCGACAATATGCCGCATCACCGCTACGGTCACTGTCTTCGCGCGTTGATCCGGAATTGCGACGGCGTCTACCCATCGTGTAGCATGCTTCGTCATCACCAACAGGTATTGGTTACCACTAGACGTCTGCAGAAATGGTCCCATTACGTCTACAGACCACAGGTCACCAACCGCTGCTACTGGAATCGATTGCAGTGGTGGCCATACATACCTATCACCTTTCATCAGTTGACAATGAGGACACCCGGCACGTATTTAGCAACATCCTCTCTCATACCTGACCAGTATGCACTTTGTCTGAGAAGGTCGACTGTCCATGAGACACCTGTATGAGCTGACTGGTGGCATTCTTGTATGATTTTATCGCGTAGACATTTCGGAATCACTGCCAAATAGCTTCCGTCATTTTCTCGCCACGTTGGCATTCCATAAGTCCATGAGTCCAAACTTATTGATACGTCTCAAAACAGCTTCAAGGTATTCTGTATGTTCTGCCTCCATTTGACTGTACACCACCAGGTCATCGCCGTACACCTCTACCTTCTCTAAATTCTTCAGCAACAACATCACAAATCGTCTAAATTTGAAAGGCGCCCCTGCCAGACCAAATGACATTCGTTTGAATTGGTATTGCTTCTTACCCACAATAAATGCTGTTTTCTCTTTATCACTGTCTTTTATTGGTAGCTGCCAGTAGCCCGAGCGGAGGTCCAGAACTGTAAATACTTTAGCATTCTGCAAACGACCCAGTGTCTCAGCTATCGTCGGCATGACACATGGCTTCAGTTGCGTTGTGCTATTTAACTTCCTGAAGTCAACGCAGAATCTATATTTCCCATTTGACTTTCTTACTAAAAGTACTGGAGAACTGTATGGACTGTCAGCCTCTTCAATAATACCTTCATCTAGCATTTCCTGAATCTGGTGCCCAACTTCTTGTTCCAAGTGACATGATATTCGCCGTGTGATGAATGTTGTCGTTGCCTGACCGGTCACTGGGATTTCATGCTGAACCTTGTCACAGTAACCATAGGGGTCTCCATCTCCTGTGAACAATCTGTCATATTTCTTAACCACCTTCATGATGTTTGGCGTTTCTAGGTACGGTGCTTTTGATACTTCAATCTCTGCTACCTCACTGTTTTCCTGAGTGTTGAACGACCCATACTTCGTTGCCACTATTCCTGTTCTCATGTTAATCACTGCACCCACTTCTCTCAGAAAATCGGCACCTAGGATCGGGTGTTGTAGGCGCGCGGTCACAATAAATGGGAATCTAATTTTCTGGCTCCCGATCTCAACAACGCAATCTGACAAGCCCGCAATATCCAGCGCATATCCCCCAACCGTATGGACCGTTAGCGCACATGGTCTTGCGTTGTGAGACTGCCTCTTATCTATTAGAAAGACTGCCGTCTCTGTATCTATGAGACACACGATATCCTGACCATTTATTCGCAATCTTGCATACACCGCTCCTCGATCTATGGCTCCTACTATATCTAGTCTAGTCGGAAGAACAGAACTCATATTATATCGTTCTAAACGTTTTATTTTCCGCCTCTCCGGACAATTCCTTCGCCAGTGTCCCGGTTTCCCGCATGCAAAGCAATTGCTCTGTTTGTTGACGCTCATCCGCAGTGAGGCTATCTCTTCCTGAAGGTTGTCGATCTTTTCTCGCCAGTTATTTACCTCTGGTGACTCCACCGCCGTTACTCCTGCACCCATTAGCTGTCTAGTCACCTTGGCCATTTCGCTAATGTCCATGGGATGGGCTTCATTGACTAGTCGTAACTGGTGGGCAGCGGCCTTCGAGACACTCTCAGTGAACTCTGCGGTCAGCAACTGTTGTTGGGCGTCCTGATCCGACGTGGGAAGTGCCCGTCGAAGTAGTTTGGTCAACTTCAAAGCCAACACCAGCGGATCTTCGTTTATTTCCAGCTTCGCGCTGCGGGACTGCTGCATCGCCTGCTCCCTGTCCGCCGAGCCGTCGAACCCCGTCTCTAGGCGCTGAACCATTCTCCACCAAGTCTCCTTCCCGTCACCACGTACCACTCCATCATATGTTGCTTTCGCTCTGCCCCGCAGCAACGTTCCCAGCACCACGACCTTCGCCTCCGGATCCCGAACCCCCACCAGCCCCGCTACCGCCTTGAAGTCCTTGAGGAAGACCTTGATGTCTCCACCCTTAAACTCTGCAGGCCACGGAATCTTCATCACGTCCAAAGGCAGCGACACCAATTGAAGAGACAGAAGACAACTCGACAACAAATTTTGGTGGGTAATTGTTGAGAAGTAGGGTATTCTTGATGTTTTTGAGGGAGTTGTGGAGATTTGAAAATATTTCAAGTTGTTATTCATCGTAGACTGACATCAGTTGGAGGATCAATGGAAACCTGGTAGCACTGGACAGCTGTTTCGTCCTAGTATGGGACTCCTCAGCAGTCCGTACCCACGACCCCGCCAGGGATCGAACCCGCGACCTGGTTTCCTTTGTTCCTCCAACTGATGTCAGTCTACGATGAATAACAACTTGAAATATTCTTGTGTCTAATTTCTGGTCGCAGATTTTCCGATCTACTAGTAAGCTTTTTCGCTCTATCACTTAAGCGTTTAACTCGGTCTACTTTAACTGAAATGCGGTGGGAGAATTCGAAGTCTAAATAGCGATTCGAATGGGAAGGTTTCCTATAGACACTAGTCTCTAGATTTCCTTCTTATTTTCGTTTAATCTCGCAATATAACATTACTAGCTAGCTCACCTTCTTCACTTCCTAAGTCACAGGTGAATTGGATTGCATTTACTACTGAATTTATATGTGCCAAGAACCTATTGATGTGTTCTGATTTCAGTACTGTAAACGTATCATCTATATATCGGAACCATATCTTTGGAGTAGGACTAAATGTTTGAAGGGCCACCTGACATAGGTGAAAGCAGTCAACCAGGGTTGATTAGATTAACAGAGCATAAAAACTTAGCTAAATCAAGATTAGTAGATCCTAATAAGATAAGAAATCTAGCTCTGCATGAGATGACATACGATCAATCATACAGTAGGGTGGGATAGGGCGACAGTGTTGAAAACTAACTTAGTTGGGTAGAGGAAGAGATTGATGACCGAATCTTTGTTTATCGAATCAACACGTAATACATGCAGTAGGAATGATTCTGCACCTGTCCCAGATATATGGAAAATTCTACTACCCTTGTCATCACAGAGAAGGAGAGAAAATTAGGAATATATAAAGACTGTCTCGAAGTTATGGAGTTACCTGACATGAATAATGTCAATAAATTGTGTCCAGTAAATGCTACTGTTTCACTGTGTGATATTTCTAATAAACAGACTAAAATGGAATTACAATAGACCACAGTGCCCACGTTTTACACTTATACTTGCATACTTAGTTTTCATTTCCTCAGTTATTCAGAGAAATAGTTTAAAAATGGCTGTATTAATTTAGAAAACCAGTTTTTCACATCTTCCTGAGTGAAAAAACTCATCTTAAGATAAAGTTTCACTGAAAGTATGAAGTTATTCGCATAGAAAGCTGAGTGAGACCTTGAATTCACTATATGCTACTGGGGGAAAGTAGAAGCATTAAGTTAGTTGATCGGAACTTTGTAGCATCTTTCAATAACTGATATTATATGAAGAGCTAGCAGGAAACAAAGTAGGTTTGAGAGGTAGTCTTCAAAATATAGGACCCTCCCCCATCCTTATTCTTTACCTTGCTCAGTAAGGAACCTTAAGATCATGAAGTGAGATAATAACTGTTGAACAACCTTTTTGCAATTACAACGACTTACTTTCACAAGTTTACTCAGAAGGTTTTCGATTATCTTTTCCTTCTCAGAGTTCATCCCGAACCACGATTGAATAGACTGTTAAGAAACAATTCATATCGACTAGCAGTTTTGATCAGCCAGGTTGAAGCAATCTAGACATAGGAAAATGGTACACGTCTTTCGTACTGCCATAAGAAACTGCTACATGTGAATTAACTCATTTTAAGTAATCAGACTTGTTCAACCAACGTAACAATGACTAGCTAGTTGATGGGAATGATGAGACTTAATGTCTAGAAGTTATACAGGTCATACTTAAAACTACAGAAGAAGTTGAGCGCAAGAGAAAGAAAGTGCACGATCTAGAGAACAGCTTCAAGAACACTCTATTGTACATTTCATGATGTAAACTTCAAATTAAACAGTCTATTTTCATCAAAACTGATTAATACAAAACATCTTTTATCTAGAAGCAAATCATAACCTTATTGAAAGTGGAGCAAGAAAGTGGAGGCTGCTTTCACGTGTCCCACTTTAAACCCCTAACCTTCTGTTCCGCAAGCAACAAAACGAAAACACAGGATTTAACGTCAAAATACTCGACAATTAAGTATCTTTCTGTGTCAAAACAGTTAACAAGTAATTGTTGACAGTATTTTATACCATCCATTATTTTCAGGATTTCAACATTAAAATTCAAGGTGTTTTAACACCTTCTATCTGTGAACTGAAATCTCTTTCTTTCCATATTTACTCCAGATATTTGATAAAAGAGAGAGTAGGCAAAGAAAATTATTTTCAATATTACAAGATTTCACCCATGCTTTTAAATGGAAGGAATCGTAATAATAATAACAATAATCACCTTTAAAAGTGTCCTCACATTCATGTATGCATGAAACTGAGTGAAATAAGTGCAGTCGCCAGTCTTTTTATAATATCACTAATGCCTCGCTGAATTAACAATGTCGACGTATCTTAATACCATCAATTTTTCTGAAGTTTATTTACCTCTGCTGAATTCTTGCGATTTGATTGGTTTATTCGGTTATTCTACAAAATCAGAAGCTACTTAAATTCAAATTTGTAGGACAAACCATGATATGATGGGACTTAATGATATTAACGGTCAGATGGTCGAAAGTTCTGTCTGGACACCTTGACGGAAATGATGCTTCCGCAGATATCTTCTAAAAATAACCATAAATCAAATTCAGCCCACAGCTCCAAAGCTTATCATTCAACAGTTTGGTTGGATTGAATTAGAATGAAAAAGAACAGATATATTGTTACGCTGATTGGAGAGATTGTAGTGATTAAATATGGTGTATTACATCATGATGTATATCATTCGGAAGACCACCTTGGGGAACATCTCGAATTGAACTTTACTAAATAGCAACAAGATTCAGTGAATTAGACTGAAAAATGGAATATCATTTCAGCTGTAGGAAGAATCTAGAGCGTAAAAGTGTATAAAAGAATCTTTGATTGATCTGTCAAGGTCAATAATGATATACATCAAAATCTTTGATGTATACTATTGTATATACGCTTCAAATCCCTTCAGTCGAACTACTCAACTTCAAACCAATAGGTCACAAATTCTAACTCAGCTCAACTTGATAGTATTTAGAAAAGTAGGTAGTATCAATAACCTGTACACAATAGATGTGTACAGACATGCGTTTGTTTACTGAATGTATTAAACTGTTTTCAACTTTCCAACAGTATACATGCATACCTGGGCATTGGATGAAGCTTAGTTCTTCCAGATTTTGACATGATCAAGTTACAATTCAATCAATGAGTTGGAATCCATCAGTATACTTTCCTTGAAATTCATCTTGATGAAAGTAAATAATGATCAGATAATGACCACAAATAACAAGTGCACAATAGTGTGAAATTCCAATTTACCTTGTTTTAAAGTAAATGGATGATGATGAAGGTTGATATGAAAATTTGACTGACAGCAGAAATCTAATTGATGGTCACCAGGTTAACTGTATTTTTCTCCTCCAATTAAGCTACGCATCCTGGATATCGACTAAGTCACTACTTTCATCCAATCACCAACAGTTATTGTGGGCTATCATGTGAATCAATGATATACAAACGCCTGTTCACTATCACGTTCAGTGCAATTAATCATGGTTCACCTTTGCTTGAACGTGAAGACGTTAGTGGTCATAGGATGATCACTCGCATCGAAGTACAATTCAAGTCAGGTTTTCTGATTTTTATTCATCTAGATGACAAGATTTTATTGAAACTTCAAGAAGCGGCCATAATTTTACAACTCCCCAATCACGATAAATATGAGTTGCCATATTTGATGAATATCTAAGTTAAACTTACTTTTTGTAACCGTGGTTACTTTTGATAAATAAAAAACTCTTTGGTCCTATTCTGGGACTCTTCAACAGCGCGCACTTACGACCCTGTGAGGGATCGATCTGAGGACGATCGTTTTGCATGGCAAACGCATCACTTTTCAGTCATATTTGCTTTAAATTCAAAAACTGTCGGTGACTAACACATAAATGAGGATATAAAAGACTATCTGAAGTATATGTCAGGTTACATAGTTGATAGCCATCCATATGGGGTGTAAAGTCTCAGTTCTCCGCTTCTCACTACCCTTCAGCAAGGAGTGTATGGTAAACCCTGACTAACTCACACAACTTAAAAAATTCACACTTAAATTTCCAACAGTTACAGACAAAAATATTATCAAATCAACCCGCAGGCAAGTTGGCTGATCTTTATGATCATGGAGACACCGGAAGGAGTGACTTTCATTGACATCCCAAAAATGCTATATAGAACCAATAACTTGGTGAAGACTGGTTCAATTCTCATAGTGGCCTAAGTTTTAGTACAAACTTCAGTCATCAGTGAATTACCAAAGAATGATTTCACAACAGTATAATTTGGAAGTGCTCCATTAGCTTACGGTCACTATTTCCATTCACTCTCAACTCATTAGTGACTTGTTTGAAGACGGATTACTCAGTTTTGATAGGTGATGTTTGTCTATAGTTGGAATCCCTTTCAAATGCTTAGTGTTATCTGGAATGACATAAAATGAAAAATCAGAAAGTATGTGTCTGTATAATAGGGACTTTTTCGATAAGTATATTAACAAGCCGAAAGATGAAATTATCAAAGAGAAAGGAAAGTTGGATTAATTTTCAACAAGGCAGACACGTATATCAATACTCATTCACCTAAAATTGGAGTTTTTCTATTGAAAGATCTTATTAGTTATATCGAAACGAAAATAAGACTACAGTCTATTGAATTTCAAAGCATTGGTTTATAGTATAGAGTTATGTGATACACTCAGGTACTGGTGACCCAATCACAGGTGAATACTCAGGTAACATAATATATTTTTGATAATGATATAGCCTTAACAATTCTCTTATCTCATCTCTTTGTTTCTATGTTAATTAGATAGTTGTTAGCATGCAAAAATGCAGGAAAGTTTATTTCAGTCACTATTACATAGATAATACGTTATTAATGCATTTAATCATAAATTTAATACTATTTTTTTTTATTTATTTAATGTTTCAACAAAAAAAAATATTTTATACTTCAGTATTATCTATCACCTTTCCTGGAAATACATGAACATTTGTTTGACAATTTGGATGTTGGATGGATATTTAGTAATATTGAAGAAATATATAAGGCGAATATTAAACTTTGGCTACAACATCTTGTTGTACCATTGAAAGAAGCTCGACAAACGGGTCATGCATTTACACCGGTTATCTTTAAAAGTGCAATTACACATGTGAGTATATGAAATCGAATAATGGTGGTTAATGGTATGATTTTTATTCTTATAGGAGTATTTTGTAACTTAATTGGATCTCTATAGCTTCGTGTAATGCGTGTAATATAAAGCCTATATAATCGTCTAGGAGGCAGTACATACTTCAAGGAAGCACTCTTCAGGATTTTTACTAAACTCTTTCTGAAAGATAGAAGATAAACAAAAACGTTAGATGATTTAAAATAGTCACTATTTCAGGTAAACCACCGTATAAAAGAAGGAGAGTATCAATAACGATGAATGCCTATACAAAGTTCAATTTCATTAGTAATGAGCAAGATACAATCTACATGTCTGACAGAGAAAGCAATAACGCTATAACTTCCAATATTGCACAGTATCACACACTTGATAGCTTACAGTTATTAGTTGAAGTTGTGGTCTAGAATTTAACCAAGAAAATAAAAATTACACCAGTAGTTGGTCAGTTTTCCTTTGAAATTGACCTAGTGAGGCAGAAATGTGACCTATCACGTGTGCCCTGGCTTGTGGATAAGACTGTGAGCTAGATCTATTTTATGGAGGCTGATAATATTTATAAATAGCTTCCCGAGTATATGAAAGCGGGACAGTATTCGAACCCATAATACATTGATTGAAGGTCAAATACTTAAACCAATGGATCACAACTTCCCCAGTGTACGGAAGTATTGAAATGATGACATCTAGTTAACTATGCAGTAGACTTGGTGGTTGAACTTGACACTTGGCTCATATCCTCATAATACAAACTCAATGTTGTTATTCAGTGACTATATCCAAAGTCCAATAGAATGATTATCAATAGATCGAACTATTAACTGGTGGATTTCGTTTATTCACCCAATAAGCGTATAAATCATTGATGAAGTTAACAGTTATTAGAATAAAAAGATATATCTGTCTGTATGTAACTCTCAACTATATACTAAATGGATTAAAAAACCGTCACTAACAGTAGGAAAGTCTATAAGTAGCCTGTAAATCTTGACTGATGAATATAAGATCACTGTTCTATGCAGTAAGAAAGTTTTCCCTGCGATTTTTATGTAGTTACAAGTCCTACAGAAATATTTGAAGATCCTACGTATTGTTTGCTCATTTTGACTATAACATCCGTAACTAATAAGAAAATATCATACACTTTCAGTAAACTAATCGAAGTATCTATGCTTAATGTAATAACTTACTACAGGCTTACAGGGTAATGCATTACTTGGAAACCTTGAGATAGCTAGATAAAAATTCAATGTTTCTAATGAATGTACCTTTACACTCTGAGTTCCGATTAGACATCATTATGAATGTTTAAAATCATGGGTTTAAGAAATTGGATTACAACCAATGCGTATGAGTTTTAACTCCATTGTATTAATCGTAGTCTGAACAATCACAAAAGCTATAACTTATTGTCTACAGTACTAGCATGTACGTTATTCCAGAGTGTACTTCAGTTTTACAATTTTACAACCCATTTTTTGCATCTAAGTAAGGTTTATGTCAATTACTTTCAGAGATTAGAAATTCAAATCTAGTTTTACTATGCATATCGAATGCACAAATGGAAAATTGTACATACATAACCTAATCAACTTCTCTTTTGATAAGAGAAAAATTTACTTTATCTAAAATTCCTAAAAATGATGATTAAAATTATAATTCAACAAAGTAGATATAATTCAGTCTTGAATTATCATCAGTACTTAACTGAAGTGCATTCGAAGGTGTGGTGAATTCAAACAGATAGATCAGTACATGTTATGAAATCTCACTTAAACTTTCTGCCTTTTCACTGCTACATAATATAAACATTTTCTCCTATGAAAATTGGACTAACAAAAGAAAATGATAAATGAATGGGCATTTTGTCCTTCATCATATGAATTCTTCTCATTTGATCTCTAGCAACGGCAAGGTGACCTTGAAGTTAGGTATAAACACTAGAAAGAAATTAAGAATGATGGTGGAGTTAAAACTGATAAATTTCTCAACGCTGGTAACATTAAGAGATCTTACTGACGAAAACGTTCCAGCTTTATTTTTAAATACCAACTGTTGGATAAAAATCACACTCAATATTACTAATATCCTCCTGAGACAACTCTGAATGAGTAGGATAGGATAGGAATCTCAAAAGAGACTTGATAGTGAGACTATATAAATCAACAGCCTTTTGCTTGTAAGGTTTCAAGAATTCTTTAAGAGAACATGCTCCTACAAATTCCCCCTTTTTCTATCCCCTGAGTCATAAGAAAACTATGCTAATTACTGGCTGATTTGTAGTGACTTTTCAACTCATTCTAACCAGCATCGATAAAATTGTTTTAAAAACTTTCTGTCTCAAAGATAGCCTTCAGTTATATGAGTTTTAATTTGTGTCATGGAAGAACTTCGTGTGAATCACTACACTGAGTCGGATAAACTCCTGGTACTGTTCAGTCATTAGTAATTATGTTTTCACTGAATAGATTAACAATTTGAAGATAGTGTAAGTATTTATAGAAAGCCATCACTTTCAAATTACACCAGGTATCTCCTTCAAGAAGTAGTAAGTTTTCACTGTTATCATAACAAGAAAGAAATGAAGTTATTGAAAAGTAACACAAAATTGTCATTTACTCAGCTCAAAATAAGAACGCTGAAACTGAGATCATTGATGGAATGAAAACTGTTGACTAGAAGAATGTATCTTTCTGTGTGAAAGTTATTTCTTTGTGTTAGCTTTATCAATGATGGGTCATCCCTTGCATAAAGTAGTAAGGATTCATTCTTGTTATCACTTGTCAATAAAGCATATCTAGAATTTTAATGGAACTAATGCCTACTCAAAAATCTGGATCTATGTTATCCAGTGCTACTGTTACACATGCTATACTGCTGAGTAGTTCAAACTAAAGCACTGAGTGACTTGCATTTAGAGTATCTTGCACTGAAGGGATTTGTGGCGAATGGGGATACTTGATCAAGTTTTCAGAAACAACTTCATATCGATTACTTCCAAATATATAATATCATTGAATGTCATCGTCATAGCAAGTCATCTCATATCCCAGTGGGTAGACTAAAGCAGCTTGACCAATAGAATTCCACTAGTACTTGTGATGAATAAAGAAAGTGATATCGATTGCTGTCTGGTGACCTATCAATGGGTTAATCTGTCCACCACTGTCTGAATGATGCAAGTTATAACTTCTTATTCTTTTTCTAACTTAGATTCCTGACCTATTCAGTGTTTATAAACAGTATTACGTGAATTTGCCTCGATGTCGTTCATATACACAAGAAGCTATTAGACAAAGTACAAACTTTTGTACATTTCTTGAGGTAAGCTGTTGTTGTTGTCGTTATTATTTCCTATATCCTTCATCTTTCTCTTCCTCTATTCGATTAGAATAGTTTTCTTATTGTATCTGCATAGCTTCAGAGTATGTCAACTTGAAGTGACACACCTTTAATGGAGATTATAACATGACCATTTGTGTTCTTATGAGAACAATATATGAGTTTATGAAGTTGCATCAAATTGAAACGGCTTTTGAATACGAAATGGCATCCATTTTGAAAACAGTGGCAATTGGATTAGGCTTGAAAGTTGTTTCTTCTTATTTAGAAACCTTTTAGTAGCTTCCATTCAAAACTGCCTTTGAAACTCAACAAAATATACCAATTTCTTATGAGAAATTTATTCTCTAACTAGTGCAAAAATTCCATGACAGTTGATACAAGTTAGAGAACCTATCATAAAACCAAGAGGAAATGAACCATTGTTAAACTCTGAAGCATTGTCCATTCAGAACCTTAGATGAACCAAGTATGAAATAACTCACTGGGATCCAAAGGTTATGCGTTCAATCACCTGTGAGATCGATAGTATCCAAAATTATGGTTTCCAACCTAAGAGGAAACATGTTTCAAGAAATCAAGGGTTTTCAATGATTCATCTGCCGATTTCAGTTCATATACGTCAATTATCTATGAGTTAAATACAACTACCACCACCCGAGTGTAATTTGGCAGCTGCTTCAACACTACAGTTGTACCGTCAGAAAACATTTAACAACCTCATTCAACAGCAGCTATATGCCAAATGATGCTACATGCCAAGTGATTCACAATGGAAGACAGGAGTAAGATAAGGTTGTCACCTAATATCACCGATCATCTTCCTGATTGTGGTCAACTGGAATGGACTAGAATGGATCATGTAAAAGACAACTGCGATCAGCGAGAAGATATCCATACGCCGACTGGAAAGATGAAAACACTCTAGAAGATTTGGATTTCACCAACGATGATGGTGATTTGTGTTTAATGTCTTGTCGCACAAACTCGAAGATATTCAGGCGAAAACCAACAAGTTGGTAGAAGAGGCGAGGTGAGGTGAGGCAGCAAAGGAAGACAGGACCTTCTTGAGGAGGTAGAGAAGACAGAGGTGGGTGGGGAAGATACACAACCAAAAGCAACAACAACAAGCACCATTCAGTATGAACGGGAGAAATCTAAAGCAACTTGTCTCTCTCGTCTACACACCTGCCCACACACATACCTACCTACCTACATAGGCAGAATCCTCTCAAATACACACACTGGCGGCAACATCAGCCACACAGATGACGACGTCAAACCTAGCATCCGAAACACAGCAACACACACCTTCATCACTCTCAAATAATCAGTGTGCAGATCTACTACACTCCACTCCACTAAACTACACTACGCTGCACTACACTACACTACACTCAGCATGAAGCATGAAGTATGAAGTGTGAAGTATGAAGCGTGAACAACATCCGCATTCCAAACAATAATTCACTCAACTCACTGCTTCCATGTGATGCTTGATAGAGTTGGCATGTTACACCACAAGCATTTCCTTCCAACAAACTACACACATACATCATCAACATCTGCCACATACACCTATACCTACGCCAACGTCTACATCTACACCTACACCTATACCTACACCTACACCTACACTCACTCGATACTCACACTGAAGATGATCAGATGGTGAGAATAATAAGAGTAAGCAAGAAGGAAGTCACTGTGACTGGTAATGAATCAATCAACCAACCAACCAACAACCTATCGTCGGAGGTGTGTGCAGAGTGGAGTGTAGATGGGTTGTATTGTATTGTAGATAGACTGAGAAGATGGTTTGGTGTTGTTGAACATCACGCAACAGGTGTGGTGAAGGCAGTTGATGTCAGGCCATCGATGGGAAGGCAAATGGGAAATGATGAGTTTGGTATTTGATGTTGGTGACATGGTGCAGATGGTGTGAGAATGAAATGAGGGGTGATGGGGGTGTGGTGGAAGTTGGTTGAGAAGACTGGAGAGTAAAATGGGTATGTGCTAGTGAATCCTTATATTCCACTAAGAACCTAAAGAACAGATAATAATAATAACCACTAGAGTATCGATTTAGTTAGCATTATTCAATAACAATTTTAAGGCAAAGTTCTAGTCCATGTTTGCTTGTATATTTTGGTATTTGTACTTCTCTCCAGTACTTTTATTTGTGAATATGGATTATAAAAGATGTTTATACTAGACAAGCAATTATTCGTCTTTCGATTCCCGGATGAACTATGTAGTAACAGTAACTTTGAGTACAGATCTTTTCGACTGTATATTTCCAGTAAGTACATCCACTACAAGTTGAGCACTACTAAATCTTGGAAATGAGTAATGAAATTAGTGAAGCAATCTATTTGATCTAAGAACAAGACTTGACTGAATTGTGTTTAAAAGGATGACACTCGATATAGGTAACATATGAATCTCAGTGTATTTGAAATAAAATAGTTCCAACGTTAGCATGGCAACAGTGTCATGTCATGTATGCATAAATCATAAGTTGAACTCAATGAGCAAAATATGGCAGTCATGACTACATAGACTAGTAAACAAGGATTTAGTATTCAAAGAAATGAGTGCTAGCTTTGAAACTTAAGGGGGAATATAGACACATCAAACTAATAAGTCAGTTCTTGAAAATGTTGATCCACCATCGAATCATTACTGCATTTTAGGAGAGGACTTTGCATCTCATGTTGGAGTTGTTGAAATTTGTTGTTTGGACGCATGTGCATTCTAATGAGTTATGGTGTTCCTCTTCCTAAAACCTGTCTGTTAAGCTGCTGAGTTATGGTAGCTACATCTTTATCCATGCGTGTGAGAGGATACCAACCGACATTTAGTTACAGCCCATACAAAAGCTTGCTTAAAAGTTGCTTATCCGTCAACAAAGGCTAATTCATTTCTAAGTGAAATCAAATGTTCCAATATTTCGCGGATATACAGTTACATTTTGACCAAGTAGGAAAAAGCTGAAGGATAGACATGTCCGCCGACATTTTAAGTTGGATACAAGAGTTTTGTGCGTCAGGTTATATAACACTATTGAACTTGATAAGATTTTACTTCCCATTTTTATCCTAGTGGGCTGATCAACAGGGTCATGACCATCGTGAACCACTATGGGACCAAATGACAAAACCAACTGCGCGATTAACACAGTATCGACTTCTAATGGAATCAATACTGAAAAATTGTAGTAATCCCACTGAAGAGCAAGAAGTCAGTGAAATGGTAAGTAATGCAAGTTTAAAAGAGTGTTTGTCAAAAATTGTCATCCTTTTACGATAAAATTATTACGTTATATCGTGTTGTGTCTTCACTGAGTATTTATATGTTTGTCTGATGTATTTCCAGGTCAGTGAAGAAGTCACATTTTCCATGGCTGATATGACACCGTAATTATTTCCCATTATATTATTATTATTTGTCTCTTGGCTTCCTAGTGGAACATACGAAATAACTAGCACATCCCCATTTCACTATTCTCTCTCCAGTCTTCTCAACCAACCTACACCACTACCCACAACCTCTCATCTCTTCGCCACACCATATCCCCCATGTCACCAACCTCAGATACACAACTCATCACTTCCTATTTGCTTTCCCATCGATGGCCTGGCATCAACTGCCATCACCTCACCTGTTGCATTATGTCTCCCAACACCAAACCATCTTCTCAGTCTATCTACAATACAATACAATCCATCTACACTCCCCTCTACACACACCTCCGACGATAGGTTACTGGTTGGTTGTTTGGTTGGTTGGTTGGTTGATTCATTACCAGTCACAGTGACTTCCTTCTTGCTTACTCTTATTATTCTCACCATCTGATCATCTTCAGTGTGAGTATCGAGTGAGTGTAGGTGTAGGTGTAGGTATAGGTGTAGGTGTAGATGTAGACGTTGGCGTAGGTATAGGTGTATGTGGCAGATGTTGATGATGTATGTGTGTAGTTTGTTGGAAGGAAATGCTTGTGGTGTAACATGCCAACTCTATCAAGCATCACATGGAAGCAGTGAGTTGAGTGAATTATTGTTTGGAATGCGGATGTTGTTCACGCTTCATACTTCACACTTCATACTTCATGCTTCATGCTGAGTGTAGTGTAGTGTAGTGTAGTGTAGTGTAGTGTAGTGTAGTGTAGTGTAGTGTAGTGTAGTGTAGTGTAGTGTAGTGTAGTGGAGTAGATCTGCACACTGATTATTTGAGAGTGATGAAGGTGTGTGTTGCTGTGTTTCGGATGCTAGGTTTGACGTCGTCATCTGTGTGGCTGATGTTGCCGCCAGTGTGTGTATTTGAGAGGATGCTGCCTATGTAGGTAGGTAGGTGAAGGAGACGACTTGCTTTAGATTTTTCCCGTTGATGTTGATTGGTGCTTCTTGTTGTTGTTGCTTTTGGTTATGTATCTTCATCACCTACCTCCGTCTTCTATACGTTCACCCGAAGGAGGTCCCGTCTTCGTTTTCTGCCTCGCCTCGCCTCGCCTCACCCTATCTCACCTCACTTCGCCTCTTCTGCCAACTTGTTGGTTTTCGCGTGTAGATCTTCTAGTTTGTATGGGTGTGTTCATTGGTCCAGCTGCCGTATGATTATCTTCTCGCTCCTTACAGTTTCTATACTTGTCCTTAACTGATATTTAGCCAAGATCACGATAACCATCATATTGCATAATATGTTTCTTCAAACTAAGCGAAATGCACGCTGATGGGAATGGAAGGATCTGCGTACATAGCCTACATAACTTAAAACAAATGTTGTAAAATGTAACTATTTAATAATGACTCAAAAATATAAGATAGGGAAAAGAGAGTGTTCGTTCTGCACAATCTAGTCCATTCTCTTGAATTTCTGTACTGTAATGGAGATATCAAGGGAAAACGAACACATTTTAAAGAAATACTGAATTGTAACAGTAAAGAGTTTACTGTGTAAATGGTTTGTCATCTAGCTATGGCTTTGGAAAATGTTGGGCGGGGAGGGATGTCAAATGTTCATGCAGAGCAAGTCTATACAACATTAGTGATAGTCTCTTAAACCAGTTTTTTCCCTTCTATGACTATGTTCACGTTTCTCTTTCTCACTTTAGCGTATGACAAAAAACGTTTGTATACGAATGTTTCTGAGACATATAAAAAACAATATTCAGCAAAGAGGCCTCTTTCAACGAATTTATTCTCAAGCTGTACATTCGTTTATATATGATATTTAAAGACTGTAATCCATGAGGAAGATTTAACTTAAATAATTGGAGGTTGAAACAATAATAATAATGTTACCATTTATTGACATGCTTGTTATTCTCCGTTGTTCTATTGGATCCAATTGTTCGACCTCTATTGGCATATGGGTTCCTATGCGGATGCCTCGATATTGCCTGAATGTTAATTATGATAATTTGGTTGATTGTGGCTAGCAAAAGAATCCACGACACGTGTTTCGTCCTATTTGGGACTCGTCAGTTGGATGTACCTGCACCCCATTGGTGTTGTTCCCGTTAGGACTCGAACCTCGTACTATCGTCTCAAACGCCGAGGCGTTACCCACTGGATTCTTCTGCCAGCCACAACCAACCAAATTATCATAATTAACATTCAGGCAATATCGAGGCATCCGCATAGAAGCCCATATGCCAAAAGAGGTGGAACACTTCGATCCAGCAGAACAACGGAGAATAACAAGTATTTCAATAAATAGTAATAACTACTACCCGTTGTACAAGAAGTGACTATCGTTCCTCTGTGGCATTGTGCGTAACGCCTCGGCGTTTGAAACGATGGGCACGAGGTTCAAGCCGAGGTGGGAAGGACATCAATGGGGTGCAGGTACGTACATCCAGGCAGTGAGTCCCAAATAGGACGAAACGCGCATCTTGGATTCTCCTCCTAGCCACAACCAACCAAATCATAACGATAAGATGGTTTTAATAATAATGTTGGGTGTTAAAAAAGATTACGTAAGATTTCTAAATCGTTTATAAAGTGCATATAGATTAAAAAGGGTGAGAAGGTTAATAAAAAATGCAAGGATCCGACGACGATTAAGGAACTAAATGAGTTTCTTGCTTTGGCGAAATGTGAGGTTAACTTTTATGAAAACTATACTATTAGCAATGAGTATCCAAAATTTTTCTGGTCGACGCTTAGGCCAAATCGTATTCACCCAAATTCGAGGACACTGAAACGTCATGCTTTAAGCCCGTATTTTCGGGCTGGAAAGAAATATATCTTTGAGAAGCCATCGTCTTCACGACTTATCGAAAAATGAACGCAGACAATTTAAGGATTATATCTCTGTTGTCTCAGATTATCCTTTGGCTCATCCTAAGATATTCATTTCATCGCATAAACGGACAAGTAGTAACTCCATAGGTATCTATTACAAAATGGTAGCAATCAAAAAATCTCCTCTTCAGTCTGCGTTACTGATATGAATTATCTCATGGATGTTCTGGAAATAGAAAAAGAATTTATCGAAGTGTTTATTCTCAAATCTTCATTGATTACATATAATAATCTTTATATGTTAAGAATATGCCTTCATAATACCTATTGTGACATCAAAAATAACAGTGAAGAGGACTCTTTTTAGCGAATTTATTCTCAAGCTGTACATTCATATATATATATATATATATATATATATATATATATATATATATATATATGTGATATAATCCGTGAAGAAGATTTAAATTAAATAGTAAGGGTTGAAACAATAATAATGATAGTGGTTATAATTATAATGTTGCTCGTTGATGATGTAAAGGTTGGATAATAATAAAAGGGGTTACGCAAGCTTTTAAATTGTTAATAAGGTGCATATAGATTAAAAATGGCGTGAAAATGTGGTAAAGTTAATAACCAATAAAAGGATTAGGTAATATGAGTATGACAAGTTAACTAGATTACAGGGATTACAGTCTTTAAATATCATATATATGTACGAATGTACAGTTTGAGAATAAATTCATTGAAAAGAGTCTTCTTCACTGAGTATCTTGTTTCTGATATCACAATGAGAATTATGAATGTATTGAAGAGAAATGCAGAGATCTGAGACATATCTCAGTTTCAGTTCCACCATAAATGCCAACCAAGAACCTATTGCTCAACAAATATGCAGGAGGAAGTCGAGATAGATTGGGCGTGCACTGAGAAGACCATATGGGGATATCACGCTTCAGGTCCTCGTATGGAACCCAGATGGGAAACGACGAGTTAGGCGTCCAAGGGTGACATGGAGGGGATAGTGTGAGGAGGAAATGAGAGCTTCTGAACTGTCGTGGAGCCAGGTTTAAAAGATTGCAGAGAACAGAGTGCACTGGAGACATGCTACTGAAGCACTATGTTCCACTAGGAATTCAAAGGACAAATAATAATAATCATTGATATATCGAATAACTCACAGTTATGAGATGAGTGTATGATATCTATAAAGATACATGATTCTATGAAACTGTTACTAGTCTTTTGAGGAGACAAGTCACCGAATTATCCAATGAATATTGGAAGGGATTTATCAAACAGTTCTTATGTGATTTAACGTAAAAAGTGCTGATTAAGTATGATAACATTTCGGGGGTATGCTTAATTGAGAATAACTATGCATAAAACTTATGTAACCCTGACACTGTGTCTCGCTTTTCATTATCATTTTTCACTATACATTGATACTGATTTACTTTTCTGCTATATTCTCTATTCACAGTTGAAATCGATCAGTGAATTCATAGAGACAATTAATCGACAAATGACAGAGACAAAAACTTGGGAAAGTTTAGAAATATTAGCCTCTAAACTAATCTGTGATGATTTATTGGAGGCTGTTGTTGAAGATTACACTCAACTAATTAACGATCATACGAAGTAAGTGTATAATTAGTATTCAACAGTATACTTCTTATTTGGTTTCTGTGAGTGTATTGGACAAGGTCTTGATTTAAGAATACAGTTTTCTTATAATCATTTCAAACAATGAAAGGTGACAGTCCCAACAGAATACCTGTAACAAAACATAAATGAGTTTATGAATCAAAATCAGCTGTTACTTTATCACTATGGATGGTGCCATCCTAACCAGTAACGTTGCGAAACTAGAGTTAAATTCATTTCAAAGATTCACTTTTGGCATACTCATAACATATTACTCAGCTGATTGATCATTGGGTAGCAACCAATCTCATGTTGTCTAGTACTGATGTCTGAACAAATCTCTTTGACTATTTTTGCAATACGTCCACCAAGATTCAAGGTTCATCATCCAGAAGCATTTTTATGCATATTGTTTAGTTGAAGACAATCATTAGAAAGTTTTGAACCTAAGTTTTATGTCCACTGTCTCTAGTTAATTAATATAAAGCGATTTTGTTCAACATAATTATACAATTTCAATTTCACACAATTTGATCTACAGTATTTAAACAATTAAAGTTATGCTTTATAAGACATCATATGATGAGAAACAAGAAATATGTAAAAAAATCTAATGGTATTTATTAGACATAGTGAGAGAAAGAGAGAGAGAGACTAAAAGAGGGAGCATAGAAAGTATGAAAATTAATAGGTTTGAGTATGAAGTTGTCACAATAATTGCTTAAGGTAAAGGTATAACTAAGAAAGACAAGGAGATAGAATGAAACCAATATTTGGATTTTAAGAATATGTACATGGAAGATGGAGGCTGATTTTCAAAGCCTCTGATGAAGATCATGATAGAAGCAGAGGTTTCTTCCGCATAAAGAATTTGTATATCCTTATACATATACAATGACAACTTCAGAGTGTAAGAAACTTGGAAACTAGCCTATCTCAATAAATTTATTTTTACTTGAAATTATGTATCTGTTGTGATGATTCACCGGCTACACTTCTAACAGATCTGTGAGAGCCTTTTCACCATATCATGGGAAAGAATAACTGAAACAGATGAAGTGATATACTCATATGGAGATTTATATGTTACGGACTGATAAGAAAATGGTGAACCACTGGAGAACAATCCTCAACTACAGTAGCAATAACCGAACAAATGCACAAAATTGGTTGCGTGCAGACTCTATTCAATAGAGCGAGAACACACTGAAGTACAACAATGTCACGGAGTAATGAAGGAAATCACTTGATGTCCACGAGTCTTTATCAGAAAATGAATATCCCCTACATCATCAACTACAAAGTCATCAACAGAAATCAATAAACACATCACCCCACCATACATAATGAATTTATCAGAAATCACAACAAAATCACTGACACCACTTGCAATTGGTGTGCATCATAAACCAACAAATTACCTACAAACACTGTTATCCAAACCAAAGTAACCAACAACCAAACAACACAAACAAAACATCTTTTACAACATCAACACAAACAACTCTAGTCAATACTACATCAGACGACAAAGTGATCACCCTCTTCACCTTCGTCACTTACATGAACACCAATCGACTATTAAACATCACAACATTTCATCAGTCATCTCAATCCACATAACACATAACACAAGTATGTATGGAGATGAATTGAATTTGGAGAATGTAGAAATTTTGGATGGAGTGATGAGAAGTGAGTAATATGAGAGAATTGTTGGGAGCTTGATATTCAGGTGAGTCAGTCAGTCAGCCAGCCAGCCAGCCTGCCAGCCAGTCGTCGAGGCAGTCAGCAATGAAGATATGTATAGACATAGACCGAGTGTATCAACCAATGAGGAGAATGATAAATGACTGAGAGGTTGAAGGTGAAGCAGAGGAACAGTCAACAGGAAAATGTATACAATGAATGAGATAGTGATCTAGGGGGAAATAACCAATTAGAAATGAGTTGATCATGGGAAGCTATTAAACCAGTGATGGAGAGATGTAGACAGGTCACATCATAATGAGGAGGTTATTGGTTATGATGTTGTGTAGGAAGACGATGGGATCTTCACGACTGAACAACCCAGTTCATAGAACACAATACAACCGAGACGAACAATACTGTCAAAATTGACACAAGAAAGTATCTTAGCCTGAATTTTATAATTCAGTATCACTCAGCTCATTTCTTATCCTTTATCTCTTAAACAAACTTTTCTTTTGGTAAAATATGGAGTTTCAAACTGCCCATCTTTTTTTTTAATGAATTCACGTTAAAACAATGGAATAGGTGATCCTCGTGTCTTCTAATGCGGTAACCAGTGAGTTTACTGTTTGACAGTACACATAAAGTACACTTTAATGAGTCCAAATTGAGATATGAGTAATTAACTAATATAGATGAGAACTGCAGAAATTTACTGTACTTGACCAACTCTGAAGTGACTAATGAGAAAATAGTTACCTTTGTTTATGAATTTAATTAGAAAATACATAGAGGCTACTAGGTAGGTATACAGCTGTTTAACATAGTTAAGAAAATGTAAACCTAACCTGTTTAAGGCATTCTCACCTCCAAATTGATCATGATTAATTGTTGTAATAGTGACATAATTCCTGAGTTGTATTCAACAGGTATCGTTACTATTTCTTTGTGGTTTAATTGAAAAGCCCATCATTTAATACTGGACACCATTATTATTATTATTATAAATTTCAGATAATTCTATTTTAGAAATATTCTTACACCTGATGTCACTCTACAGAAATACTTATAGAGTAGTGTATGAAAACGGAAATTTGATATATTTTTTTTCCATCATTTTCATTGTTCTATTTTCTGAAATGACATTCATTTGCGCTGTCGATGAAATGAAATGAAATGATTTCTGTTTTAAAGCCTCCATTTGAAGAAAAACATTAGATGAAAAGATTCGACTTATGGTAGGTTTATAATCATAGAAACATCCACGAAGTCAGGATTTTTGGCTTGGTAATGATTATTCAACCAATAGCTCATTCATAAAATTATTATTTGGTCAATAGTTGATATGCGTAATATATGTATCAATCTCAGTGTGTTTGAGAATAAAAAATAACTCCAACTTTTCTGATAGAAATCTAGCCTCATCTTCTTCAGGGAAAAAACAAACATCAATGATGCATGTATATATTAGTTGGTTGGAGGCAATCGCCAGGAAACCCTGGACCTAGGTTTCGCGCTCAGTGGTAAAGTCGTTGTCTACAACACTGGGTGACGGGGGGATATCAGTTTCATCGAAGTTGCACAAACGCCTTGCTGACGAGTGCCAAAAAGCAGGAAACCTAGGTCCAGGGCTTCCTATCGATTGCCTCCAACCAACTAACATCTTGCTAATGTGCACTGTGATGCTGATCTTCCCAGCTTGGTTGCCACATTGCAAATATGATCTATAGAATTCGGTCTACACTCAATACTAGACAACATTAAATTGGTTGTACTCCCGTGACCAATGAATACACGCATGTATATAAACATACAAGATCAACAACTTACATTTAATTTCATAGTCTAATCCAATTTGGATAATAATTGTTTTTTATCAGTTTGATCATCTAAGATAGATATAGTGAAAGATGGAATGAAGCAGATCTCAAGGAGATCGGGATTCAGGTGACAGTAAGACATCACGAGTTCACATAGCAGTCAACCAAAACCCTCGGTCATTAAAGTGAAATAAAAACTGATCATAAGGTGGATCTCACAGCTAACTTGCAGGGTGACGGGTAACAACACAATTACTAGTAATTACTTGTGATGTATGTATCGTGATGTGATGCATTTCGAGGTTGTTATTCATACCAGTCTTCTTTGAAAGTACAAGACATAAGAGAGTATAGGTGACATCGCAGTCATTACTTAATTGTAGGAGAATGTATAATGAGACACATTATATATATATATATATATATATATATATATATATATATATATATATATATATATATATATATATATCTTATGTCACTTTATAAGGAGGAATTCGATGATAAAATCTCCATTGTACTGGTTATCATAATAAAGTGGAGATGAATAGTAATGCTGAAGTGTGCCATGTTATTAGGACACAAAACCAATTATACAAGGGTCATGACAGTAAGAGTGACAATGAAAGTAAGCTCCATAGTCATGTTTCCGATATGTTCACTAAGGATTGTCCAGATGTAGCTAACTTATCTGTTCAACTTATTTATATTTCCCCATATACAGAGCCTTAGAAGTAATCCTTGCTTTATTGGACCAGAAAACACTTTGTAAAACATATTATTATTATGACTATTTTGCCTTAAAGTTCCTAGTGGAAAAAAGGAATTCAGTGGCACGTCACCATTTCACTCTCCTCTCTCCAGTCTTCTCAACCAACCTCCACCACTACCCACAACCTCTCATCTCTTCGCCACACCATATCCCCCATGTCACCAACATCAAATACCAAACTCATCATTTCCCATTTGCCTTCCCATCGATGACCTGGCATCACCTGCCATCACCTCACCTGTTGCATGATGTTCAACAACACCAAACCATCTTCTCAGTCTATGTACAATCCATTACAATACAATACAATCCATCTACACTCTCCTCTACACACACCTCCGACGATAGGTTGTTGGTTGTTTGGTTGGTTGGTTGATTGATTCATTGCCAGTCACAGTGACTTCCTTCTTGCTTACTCTTATTATTCTCACCATCTGATCATCTTCAGTGTGAGTATCGAGTGAGTGTAGGTGTAGGTGTAGACGTTGGCGTAGGTGTATGTGGCAGATGTTGATGATGTATGTGTGTAGTTTGTTGGAAGGAAATGCTTTTGGTGTAACATGCCAACTCTATCAAGCATCACATGGAAGCAGTGAGTTGAGTGAATTATTGTTTGGAATGTGGATGTTGTTCACGATTCATACTTCATACTTCATACTTCATGCTGAGTGTAGTGTAGTGTAGTAGATCTGTACACTGATTATTTGACAGTGATGAAGGTGTGTGTTGCTGTGTTTCGGATGCTGGGTTTGACGTCGTCATCTGTGTGGCTGATGTTGCCGCCAGTGTGTGTATTTGAGAGGATTCTGCCTATGTAGGTAGGTAGGTAGGTAGGTATGTGTGTGGGCAGGTGTGTAGATGAGAGAGACAAGTTGCTTTTATTTCTCCCGTTGATGTTGATTGGTGCTTGTTGTTGTTGTTGGTTGTGTATCTTCATCACTTACTTCTGTCTTCTCTACCTTCACCTCAAGGAGGTCCAGTCTTCCTTCGCTGCCTCATCTCACCTCACCTCGCCTCGCCTCGCCTCGCCTCTTTTGCCAACTTGTTGGTTTTCACCTGTAGATCTTCGAGAGTATGCGAGGAGACATTAGACTGAAATCATCATCATCATCATTGTTGGTGAAATCCAAATATTCAAGGTTGTTTTCATCTTTTTAGCCAATGTGTGCACATCTTCTCGCTCCTCACAGTTGTCTGTTGCATGATCCAGTCTAGTCCAGTCCAGTCGACCACAATCAGGAAGATGATAGTTGATTGTAGTAGGCGGCAATCTTGTCTACCTCCTGTCTTCACTTCCAAGACATCACTGAGCTTTCCATTGTGAATCACTTGGCATGTAGCATCATGTAGCATATAGCTGCTGTTGAATGAGGTTGATAAATGTTAGTGACAGTACAAGCGTAGTGTTGAGGCATCTGCTTGTCAACTTACTTGTCGGTCGACGCTGTTTCAGGTCTTTTCAGTGTTGATGAAGTTGAGGTAAGGTGAAGAGTTGACTGATGTTTTATGCTGTGTTCTGTGATGATGCATGGCGTAGTGTTGCAATTTTATCTGGACATGATTTGTTCTTCGTGAAGCCAGCCAGCCATCCAGTTTCTGTTGTAATTTTGAATCCGGAGAATTGTTTAGTCTCTCTGGGATGATGCGGTTTAGTATTTTGCTTGGGTTGGACAGGAGTGGAGCATGATTCCTCTCCAGTTCTTCTAGTCTTAGGATTGAAAACATAGGTTGCATCATAATGAATTTTGTGACCTATGTCTATCGACTAAAATGCATAAATTGATTTGTTTTCTGATTTCTTAAAATCTACTGAGGTTTAGGGTATCCGTTTTAAACATAATCTATTTCTTATGTATTTACCTGCCAATTCGTTCGAACAGGTAAAAGGGAGTACAGTTAGTGAAAGATATCATGTAAGAGTATTACATATATTTGTAAATTGGGTTTCATTTGATCAGTATATAGAATCTCTCAAAAATGACTTTACCAGTGCTTTGAGTCGGCAGTAATGAGATGAAACTTATGAGTTGATGCCAATAAATCTTGAGGGGTGAGACCAAAACCAGCCGTTTTGTTCAAGCAGTCTCGTATTGAGTATTTCCTATGTTAACTTCTTTATATATGTTTGCTTACTTTGCACAAAAGCTTTAAATTCTCAATTCTTGGTCCAATCAAGCTGCCTTTACCAGTCGTCTTATTCCATGACAATAACAACAATCAAAATTTCTCATTATCTACAAAATCCCTAACATCTTTACGCAATCGTCGTTCAAGTGGTTCATCACTAATCAACTTCAGCTCAAATTTAGAAGTTAAGAATGTTCAAAGTCGTAGCACAGCTAGCTGTAATCGCAGTGATTCTGGTATTGGTGATTGTAATCCACCTGTTTCAGCATCGACTATATCAACAGATCTTACCTCACCCATATATTTTAAGCAGTCTTCAAGAAATTTCAGTCTGCCTAATCAGATAACTGAGATGTATCAGTGTCCTGTGCTCCTCTCACGTGTAACACCAAGCAGTATACAAAAATCAAGTTTTTTAGAAACAGATATGAATGATTCCATCATATGTGATTGGTCAGATTTTTATTGCAGACGGGCTGTTCAACGTGCTGTATTATATGGAGGAAATTTACGATTTAAAGAACCCCCAAGTCGTGTAAGTGTTTAGAGTACATTATTTTCGTTTAACTTATTATTATTATTTGTCCATTGGCTTCCTAGTGGAACATATGGAATAACTAGCACATCCACATTTAACTCTCCTCTCTCCAGTCTTCTCAACCAACCTCCACCACTACCCACAACCTCTCATCTCTTCGCCACACCATATCCCCCATGTCACCAACATCAAATACCAAACTCATCATTTCCCATTTGCCTTCCCACCGATGGTCTGGCATCACCTGCCATCACCTCACCTGTTGCATGATGTCTCCCAACACCAAACCATCTTCTCAGTCTATGTACAATCCATTACAATACAATACAATCCATCTACACTCTCCTCTACACACACCTCCGACGATAGGTTGTTGGTTGTTTGGTTGGTTGGTTGATTGATTCATTGCCAGTCACAGTGACTTCCTTCTTGCTTACTCTTATTATTCTCACCATCTGATCATCTTCAGTGTGAGTATCGAGTGAGTGTAGGTGTAGGTGTAGGTGTAGGTGTAGGTATAGGTGTATGTGGCAGATGTTGATGATGTATGTGTGAAGTTTGTTGGAAGGAAATGCTTTTGGTGTAACATGCCAACTCTATCAAGCATCACATGGAAGCAGTGAGTTGAGTGAATTATTGTTTGGAATGTGGATGTTGTTCACGATTCATACTTCACACTTCATACTTCATGCTTCATGCTGAGTGTAGTGTAGTGTAGTGGAGTGGAGTGTAGTAGATCTGTACACTGATTATTTGAGAGTGATGAAGGTGTGTGTTGCTGTGTTTTGGATGCTGAGTTTGACGTCATCATCTGTGTGGCTGATGTTGCCGCCAGTGTGTGTATTTGAGAGGATGCTACCTATGTAGGTAGGTAGGTATGTGTGTGGGCAGGTGTGTAGATGAGAGAGACAAGTTGCTTTTATTTCTCCCGTCGATATTGATTGGTGCTTGTTGTTGTTGTTGTTGGTTGTGTAACTTCATCACTTACTTCTGTCTTCTCTACGTTCACCTGAAGGAGAGTTGACTGGCATTCTATGCTCTGTTCTATGATGATGCAGAGCGTAGTCTTGTCGCAATTTGATCTAGACATGATTTTTGTTTCTTAAAGCTAGTCAGAGTCTTTCGGTGGTAATTTTGCATCCAGAGCCTTTTTAATGTCTCCAGGGATCAAGTTACATAAGCACACATGAACTTTTTAGACACACATCAACCTTCAACTTGTCCAGTTTTTTTTTCAGCATACTACGACCTACGTGAGATATTTGAAGTCCAAATAGTTGATTAGTTTTAATTACTCACGAGATTAAATAAAAAACATTCGATATGATGAAGAAAAAATATTGTTTAACATCGATTTCAACAGTCTGCATACAAAAATGATCACGGAAGCACTCAAGACAAGAATTGACAATGATAGTTATTTAAAAGAGTTAACACATTTGTCATGGGTAGTATTCCAAAAGCTATAGAACTTCGTTTAACAATAACATTATTTACATCCAAAGGAGTATTCAATGAGTAACAGTCGAAATAGCTACAAGATCTCCTGTAAATAGCTGACATAATCATTGATTTTGAGGAGAAAACGCTTATAGACAAGTTAAGTTTTTAATTAAAATGTAGTGGAGATAATTGGATGACACTTTAATGATAATAATAATAATTTTATTTTGAGGGGGTTATGGAGATTTGGAAATATTTCAAGTTGTTATTCATCAAAGACTGACATCAGTTGGAGGAACAAAGGAACCTGGGAGCACTGGACAGCTGTTTCGTCCTAGTATGGGACTCCTCAGCAGTGCGCACCCACGACCCCACCAGCAGGGATCGAACCCGCGAACTTCAGGTTCCGCGGCCAGCGCGTTACCATTGAGCCACTGGCTCGGCGGAATCCAATGCTCCATATTTCCAACTTCTGTTAGCTCACGATATAGCGCAAACCGCCACCCAATGTCACCGTTGAGTATTTGTCCTCACGGCCATCAGGCTTTGACTCCACCGGTCACGACTTGTCATTGGAACTTCGGAATACTTCTCGAAGCTAGTCACCAACGAGCACTAGTTCAATTAAATTTTGAGGGGGTTGTGGAGATTTGGAAATATTTCAAGTTGTTATTGCTGGTGGGGTCGTGGGTGCGCACTGCTGAGGAGTCCCATACTAGAACGAAACAGCTGTCCAGTGCTCCCAGGTTTCCTTTGTTCCTCCAACTGATGTCAGTCTTCGATGAATAACAACTTGAAATAATAATTATGTTTATGCAATAAAATTCATCACAGAAATAGGTAATGAATCCAGCTAACTACCTATGGACAGAGGTCTGCAAACCATAGCTTATAGAAAAGCAACTCATTCAGGAAGATTTCTTGATTTTCACTTAACTCATCGTATCTGAATGAAACCAGCTTCAGTACAAAGTCTTGTCAATAGGCTACAAAGTCTAAAAAAAATGTCCTGACGTTCAAGGCCATGGAAAGGATATTTCATTCAAAATATTGTTAACTTCATAAAAGATGACAGTGAAACGAAAAACAAGTAAATGTTAACAGAAAAAAAATAGTAAAAAACAATTACCATATAAGAAACGTACTTCATGAGCACCGAGAAGAAATCTGTCTATATTACATCTAACCCAGCGGAACCGATTAAAAGCAGGTCTAAGCCCTGTCACGAATCCTATAAAATATTCTATAAAAACAACATATAGCAACAGTCCAGTTGGCTTGTGGGTCAAGCTAAATGAGCACCCAAGGTCAACTTTGGTGAATGCTGCTGGGACACAACAGTAAGAACAATAGGAATAGAGTTAATCAACGGTAGCCCACGCATGGAATAAGAAATATACTATTGGTTGAAACAATGCTAGCACATGGAAGTTTAATGTGAGTAGATAAAAAAACACATCGATAAGCAGGTTCATATTAGTACATGTCATATCGAATAAATGCAATATAGGTGAATCAGGAAGTACAAATCATGTGCAGACCAAATTGCAACACTATGCTACTCATCATTATAGAACAGAGTAGAAAATGGTAGTCAACTCAACTTCATCGACTTTGAAAAGGCCTTCGACAAGCGTCGACCGACAAGTAATTTGGCAGTTGCTTCAACACTACAGAATACCACAAACCTTTTATCAATCTCATTCAAAAACTATGTGAAGACTCCACATACCAAGTAATTTACAGTGGAAAGCTCAGTGATGCTTTTGAAGTGAAGACAGGAGTAAGACAAGGCTGGCTGTCTACTATCACCCATGATATTCCTGATTGTAGTGGACTGCATCATGCAACAAACAGTGAGGAGCTGTGAGAAGAGGAGGATAGGCTGGACTGATGAAAGAACCTAGAAGATTTAGATTTCGCTTATGACTAGTGTATGACGTCACACAAACTTGATGATCTACAGACGAAAACCTAAAAAGTTGACAGAAGAGGCGAAGCGATGCGAGGTGAGGCAGGGCAGCGAAGACGGGACTTCAAGTGAAGGTAGAGAAGACAGAGGTGATGATGATACCCAACCAGCACCACCACCACCACCACACAACAACAACAACAAGCTCCAATCACCATCAACGGGAGAAACTTGAAGTAAGTAGCCTCCTTCACCTTATCTAGGTAGCATTGTTTCAACTACAGGCGACACAGACGAGGATGTCAAAGTCAGAATCAGAAAAGCAAGACAGGCGTTCATTAACCTGAAACCAGTGTGGAGATCTTCTGCACTCAGCATGTGGAACAACATCCACATTTTCAACACTAACGTCAAGTCAGTACTTCTGTATGATTGAGAGAGTTGGCTGCGTTACGAAAGGTATTCCAACAAACTACAGACATTCACCAACAACTGCCTACTGCTGGCTCGTTACTGAATATCAGATGGCGAAGAATGATTAAAGTGAGCAACAAGGAAGTCTGGCTGGTAACGAACCAACCAAGAAGCTATCGTTGAACAAATATGCACTTGTAAGGAAGTGGAGATGGATTGGATTGGGCATACACTGAGAAGGCCTGACTGGTGACATCACTGCGTTAAGTGAGGCCGTCGAGTGTAACTCAAATGGGAAGCGACGAGTTGGGCGTTCCATGCTTAGGGTGACATGTAGGAGATCGGTGCTGAGGAGGAAATGAGAGGTTGTGGGCTGTTGTCGGAGCCAGGTTGCAAAAGATTTCATGAGAACAGAGAGTGCAGTGGAGACGTGCTACTGAATCTCTATGTTCCACTAGGAACCCAAGGGACAAATAATAATGAATAATAGTTCAGCTATCAACCAAATAATATATTTCATTGGAAACCACTATTTCGAATCCTGCTGTAACCCAGTTTTTCATCTCATTTTCAATCGTGACCCCATAATAACAACATCAGTATGCGAAATGAAGGCTACCTCAGATAATCTTAACAAAAGAAAAACAGAAAAACATTACACGCATGTTAGCTGGTTCAAGACAGGAAGCCATGAACCTTGATTTCGTGCTTGTTGGCACTCATCAGCAACGTGTATCTGCAACCTTGAGAGAACTAATATATTCTTCTAGCTTTGAGCCTTCATCACTCAGGGCTTCAGTGAGAGATGTTTCCATTGAGCTATTCATGTCAAATAGCTCAGTAACAGTTATAATGAAAAACGATCGATAGAATTCAGTCAAATCTAGGGACTAGACAACACGAAACTGACTACTCTGTAGTGACCAGTCAATGAACTTTAGACATCTAATAAATGTGTGATTAAAGAGTTAAAACACTAATGTGATCACAGACAGGAATGTAACCAAAACCTAGAAATCTAATCAATAGGCTTAAAATTTCATTTGAAATTCATCTATCAATCATGAGTTTACGCCTTGTCAAATTCTAGGTTTTTCTTGTTACCTTCAGTAACTTACGGAGTATTACGTAATCGTCCCTGCATATACACTAATTCTTGTTTTCTCCTATCTGATACAATCTCAAGTTATCATTTACTAACAGACTCGTATATACTTTTGACTGATACAAATACAATTGTACAGTTTTATTGGATAATATCGTCGAAAAAAAGATTTTCGCAAGCTGAATGGTCTTCTGTTATTTTTAATAAAAGTCTCCAAAATAAAATAATAAGAGGTTGCTCAATCTTATCATGACGTTGCATGACTGACGAACCACTTTCAGACACTTAGTCTGGAATTAGCCATCTGAGTGATTCGAATGCTGGAATCCATCTCAGTTGACCATACTTAGAATTCAGCATCTTCGACACAAAAATATATCTTGTGAAAATTTACTGATGGTTAATAACTTATAAGGTATTAGAACTGTACACTAGGTGAACGTAGAGAAGACAGAGGTACTTGGTGAAGATACACAACCACCACCATCGCCAACAGCAACAAAAAGCACCAATCAACATCAACGGGAGAAATACAAGCAAGTTGTCTCATTCATCTACACACTTGCCCACACACCCACCTACCTACCTACATAGGTAGCATCCTCTCAAATACACACACTGGCGGCAACATCAGCCACATAGATGACGACGTCAAACCCAGCATCCGAAACACAACAGGACACACCTTCATCACTGTCAAATAATCAGTGTACAGATCTCCACTCCACTCCACTCTACTCCACTACACTGCACTACACTACACTACACTACACTACACTACACTCAGCATGAAGTATGAAGCGTGAACAACATCCACATTCCAAACAATAATTCACTCAACTCACT